TGTTAGATAGACACACACACACACACATAGAGAGAGAGTGAGAGAGAGAGAGATTAGATAGATTAGATAGACAGACACAGATATAGAGATAAATGATAGATGATATAGACAGAGATAGATGATAGATAGATAGATAGATAGATAGATAGATAGATAGATAGATAGATAGATAGATAGATAGATAGATAGATAGATAGATATAAATAGCAATAACACCAGCACTTAGGCTTACATACCGCTTCACAGAACTTTACACCCCTCTCTGAGCGGTTTACAGAGTCAGCCTGTTGCCCCCAACAATCTGGGTCCTCATTTTACCAAACTGGGAAGGACGGAAGGCTGAGTCAACCTTGAGCCGGTCAGGATCGAACCCTTGGCTGTGGGCAGAGTTTGCCTGCAAATCCTGCACTCCAGCCCCTGCGCCATCGCAGCTCTTGGTTGTCGGTCTACACCTCTCCTTATCCTCAGAGAAGGCTAGGAATCGCGGGGGCTGTCATCACCCAGTCAGGAAAGGCCACAGGTGGAGGAGCTGCGTTCACACCTTCCAGGGCAGTCCCCCCCCCCTCAGGATGCGGATGCGAGAAGCTGCTACTTGTTGAGGTCTCCTTCGACCTTTCTCCGGCTTTGAGTTGACCCCGGTCACCTCAGCAGGAGGATACAAATCAACCCAGATCCTCTTTGCTTTCTCTTCTCTGCAGTACCACGCTCTTGGTTTGCTCTACCACCTGAGAAAAAATGACCGCCTCGCCGTTTCCAAGATGCTGAACAAATTCACCAGATCCGGATTGAAGTCCCAGTTTGCCTACTGCATGCTGATCCGAATTGCCAGTCGTCTCCTGAAGGAGTCCGAGGAGGGGTAAGGAGATCCGGGGATTTGGCAGGGCGTTCCATCTTGGAATGGATCTAGGGAACATGACGGAGGCTACTGGATCTGGGGCAGGTTTCTGATTGTTCACTGGCAGACAAGAGAGGAGAGGAGAGGAGAGGAGAATAACGGAATAAGAGAATTGGAAGGGACCTTGGAGGTCTTCTAGTCCAAGCCCCTGCTCAAGCAGGAGACCCTGTAACATTCAATAGAAGAAGAGAGGAGAGGATAGAATGTAGAGTAGAGTAGAGTAGAGTAGAGTAGAGTAGAGTAGAATAGAATAGAATAGAATAGAATAGAATAGAATAGAATAGAATAGAATAGAATAGAATAGAATAGAATAGAATAGAATAGAATAGAAAATATGGGATGGAATGGAATGGAATGGAATGGAATGGAATAGAATAGAATAGAATAGAATAGAATAGAATAGAATAGAATAGAATAGAATAGAATAGAATAGAATAGAAAATATGGGATGGGATGGGATGGAATAGAATAGAATAGAATAGAATAGAATAGAATAGAATAGAATAGAATAGAATAGAATAGAATAGAATAGAATAATAGAATAATAGACTGGACTGGACTATGGAATGGAATAGAATAGAATAGAATAGAATAGAATAGAATAGAATAGAATAGAATAGAATAGAATTACAGGAATAGAATAGAATAGAATAGAATAGAATAGAATAGAATAGAATAGAATAGAGTAGAATAGAGTAGAATAGAGTAGAATAGAATAACAGAATAATAGACTGGACTGGACTAGAGAATGGAATGGAATAGATTAGAATAGAATAGAATAGAGGATAGAATAGAATAAGAATTAATGGAATAGAATAATGGAATGAATAAAGAATATTAATAATTAATTGATTGATTGATTGATAATAAATAAATAATAGAAACAATAGAGTATATGGAATTGAGTAGCCAACGCAGTTCTAGGCTGTCTTAACAGAGGGATAGAATCAAGATCACGTGAAGCGTTAATACTGCTTTACAAGGCCTGGGTAAGGCCACCCTTGGAATACGGCATCCAGTTTAATAACAATAACAATAGATACACCTTGTGAACTGCTAAGGAGGAGCCGTTCTAACCCTGTTCCTGCCTAGCAGACATTCTAACCTCCACTGCCTCTTTGTTCTCTGGGAAGCAGCCCCTCCCTCTTGGTAATCCAGACTCCATTCCACCACACTCCTGTCCAATCAGCAGCGCTGGGATATTCATGACGACGATACACGGCCTGTAAAAGCAGCCGTATCTTTTTCTCCGTAGGCACGACAACCCCCTCTTTGATTTCATCGAAAGCTGCCTGCGCAACAAGCACGAGATGGTGATTTACGAGGCTGCCTCGGCCATCATCCACCTCCCCAATTGCACAGCCCGGGAACTGGCCCCGGCAGTCTCAGGTGAGTGCAGCGTGGGAATCCATCCCTTCGTTTTAGATGCCGGAGTAGCTGGTGGACAAGGCTACTAGAGACCTTGGAAGCTTTATTCACTGTGTTCTATTCAACCAATTTATACAGCCGCCAAGTCGGTTAAAAAGAAAATCCAGCATATAACAAAAAAAACTAGCCACCTTGGCAGCAACGACACAGATCAAATCAACCACAAGTTGTTATAACCGTGA